AATCAAAAAGTTCGCCATACATTTTTTGTTCGAAACTTTTTCCCTATTTTATTGGTGGTATTCCGGAGCGATTATCTCGCGAATTTAATTTCTCTAAATATTTTCCAAATTTGTTTCATGGCGTAGCTCAGCATCCGCTGGACCAATCAAAAAGTGCGCCATACATTTTTTGTTCAGTACTTTCTTCTAATCACTATAGCCGTATTTCCAAAAGATTATCTAGCGAATTTAATTTTTTTAAAATTTTTCCAAATTATTTTTGAGTGTAGCACAGCATCCGCTGGACCAATCAAAAAGTGCGCCATACATTTTTTGTTCGAAACTTTTTCCCTATTTTATTGGTGGTATTCCGGAACGATTATCTTGCAAATTTAATTTTTCTAAATTTTTTCCAAATTTGTTTTCTAGTGTAGCTCAGCATCCGCTGGACCAATCAAAAAGTGCGCCATACATTTTTTGTTCAGAACTTTCTTCTAATCACTATAGCCGTATTTCCAAAAGATTATCTAGCGAATTTAATTTTTGGAAAATTTTTCCAAAATATTTTTGAGTGTAGCTCAGCATCCGCTGGACCAATCAAAAAGGGCGCCATACATTTTTTGTTCAGAACTTTCTTCTAATCACTATGGCGGTATTCCCGAACGATTATCTCGCAAATTTAATTTTTCTAAATATTTTCCAAATTTGATTTATGGCGTAGCTCAGCATCCGCTGGACCAATCAAAAAGTGCTCTATACATTTTTTGTTCGCTACTTTTTGCTAAAGACTTTGGCGGTATTCCCGAACGATTATCTCGCAAATTTAATTTTTCTAAATATTTTCCAAATTTGTTTTATGGCGTAGCTCAGCATCCGCTGGACCAATCAAAAAGTGCGCCATACATTTTTTGTTCGAAACTTTTTCCCTATTTTATTGGTGGTATTCCGGAGCGATTATCTCGCAAATTTAATTTCTCTAAATATTTTCCAAATTTGTTTCATGGCGTAGCTCAGCATCCGCTGGACCAATCAAAAAGTGCGCCATACATTTTTTGTTCAGAACTTTCTTCTAATCACTATAGCCGTATTTCCAAAAGATTATCTAGCGAATTTAATTTTTTTAAAATTTTTCCAAATTATTTTTGAGTGTAGATCAGCATCCGCTGGACCAATCAAAAAGTGCGCCATACATTTTTTGTTCGAAACTTTTTCCCTATTTTATTGGTGGTATTCCGGAGCGATTATCTTGCAAATTTAATTTTTCTAAATTTTTTCCAAATTTGTTTTCTAGTGTAGCTCAGCATCCGCTGGACCAATCAAAAAGTGCGACATACATTTTCTGTTCGCTACTTTTTGCTAAAGACTTTGGCGGTATTCCCGAACGATTATCTCTCAAATTTAATTTTTGGAAAATTTTTCCAAAATATTTTTGAGTGTAGCTCAGCATCCGCTGGACCAATCAAAAAGGGCGCCATACATTTTTTGTTCAGAACTTTCTTCTAATCACTATGGCGGTATTCCCGAACGATTATCTCGCAAATTTAATTTTTCTAAATATTTTCCAAATTTTATTTATGGCGTAGCTCAGCATCCGCTGGACCAATCAAAAAGTGCTCTATACTTTTTTTGTTCAGAACTTTCTTCTAATCACTATAGCCGTATTTCCAAAAGATTATCTAGCGCATTTAATTTTTTTTAAATTTTTCCAAATTATTTTTGAGTGTAGCACAGCATCCGCTGGACCAATCAAAAAGTGCGCCATACATTTTTTGTTCGAAACTTTTTCCCTATTTTATTGGTGGTATTCCGGAGCGATTATCTTGCAAATTTAATTTTTCTAAATTTTTTCCAAATTTGTTTTCTAGTGTAGCTCAGCATCCGCTGGACCAATCAAAAAGTGCGACATACATTTTCTGTTCGCTACTTTTTGCTAAAGACTTTGGCGGTATTCCCGAACGATTATCTCTCAAATTTAATTTTTGGAAAATTTTTCCAAAATATTTTTGAGTGTAGCTCAGCATCCGCTGGACCAATCAAAAAGGGCGCCATACAATTTTGGTTCAGAACTTTCTTCTAATCACTATGGCGGTATTCCCGAACGATTATCTCGCAAATTTAATTTTTCTAAATATTTTCCAAATTTTATTTATGGCGTAGCTCAGCATCCGCTGGACCAATCAAAAAGTGCTCTATACTTTTTTTGTTCGCTACTTTTTGCTTAAGACTTTGTCGGTATTCCCGAACGATTATCTCGCAAATTTAATTTTTCTAAATATTTTCCAAATTTGGTTTTATGGCGTAGCTCAGCATCCGCTGGACCAATCAAAAAGTGCGCCATACATTTTTTGTTCGCTACTTTTTGCTAAAGACTTTGGCGGTATTCCCGAACGATTATCTCGCAAATTTAATTTTTCTAAATATTTTCCAAATTTGTTTTATGGCGTAGCTCAGCATCCGCTGGACCAATCAAAAAGTGCTCTATACATTTTTTGTTCGCTACTTTTTGCTAAAGACTTTGGCGGTATTCCCGACCAATTATCTCGCAAAATTATTTTTTCGAAATTTTTAAAAAAATTTATCTGAGTGTGGCTCAGCATCCGCTGGACCAATCAAAAAGTGCGCCATACATTTTTTGTTCGAGACTCCCGGGTTAAGACTTTGGCGGTATTCCCGATCAATTATCTCCCAAATTTAATTTTTCGAAATTTTTTAAAAAATTTATCTGAGTGTAGCTAAGCATCCGCTGGACCAATCAAAAAGTGCGCTATACATTTTTTGTTCGAGACTCCCGGGTTAAGACTTTGGCGGTATTCCCGATCAATTATCTCCCAAATTTTATTTTTCGAAATTTTTTAAAAAATTTATCTGAGTGTGGCTCAGCATCCGCTGGACCAATCAAAAAGTGCGCCATACATTTTTTGTTTGAGACTCCCGGGTTAAAACTTTGGCGGTATTCCCGACCAATTATCTCGCAAAATTATTTTTTCGAAATTTTTAAAAAAATTTATCTGAGTGTGGCTCAGCATCCGCTGGACCAATCAAAAAGTGCGCCATACATTTTTTGTTCGAGACTCCCGGGTTAAGACTTTGGCGGTATTCCCGATCAATTATCTCCCAAATTTAATTTTTCGAAATTTTTTAAAAAATTTATCTGAGTGTAGCTAAGCATCCGCTGGACCAATCAAAAAGTGCGCCATACATTTTTTGTTCGAGACTCCCGGGTTAAGACTTTGGCGGTATTCCCGATCAATTATCTCGCAAATTTATTTTTTCGAAATTTTTTAAAAAATTTATCTGAGTGTGGCTCAGCATCCGCTGGACCAATCAATAAGTGCGCCATACATTTTTTGTTCGAGACTCCCGGGTTAAGACTTTGGTGGTATTCCCGATCAATTATCTCCCAAATTTTATTTTTCGAAATTTTTAAAAAAATTTATCTGAGTGTAGCTCAGCATCCGCTGGACCAATCAAAAAGTGCGCCATACATTTTTTGTTCGAAATTTTGTCCCTATTTTATTGGAGGTATCCCGGAGCAATTATCTCGCAAATTTAATTTTTCTTAATATTTTCCAAATTTGTTTCATGGCGTAGCTCAGCATCCGCTGGACCAATCAAAAAGTGCGCCATACATTTTCTGTTCGCTAATTTTGCTAAAGACTTTGGCGGTATTCCCGAACGATTATCTCTCAAATTTAATTTTTGGAAAATTTTTCCAAAATATTTTTGAGTGTAGCTCAGCATCCGCTGGACCAATCAAAAAGTGCGCCATACATTTTTTGTTCAGAACTTTCTTCTAATTACTATAGCGGTATTCCCGAACGATTATCTCGCAAATTTAATTTTTCTAAATTTTTTCCAAATTTGTTTTCTAGTGTAGCTCAGCATCAGCTGGACCAATCAAAAAGTGTGCCATACATTTTTTGTTCAGAACTTTCTTCTAATTACTATAGCGGTATTCCCGAACGATTATCTCGCAAATTTAATTTTTCGAAAATTTTTCCAAAATATTTTTGAGTGTAGCTCAGCATCCGCTTGACCAATCCAAAAGTGCGCCATTCATTTTTTGTTCGAGACTTTTTGCTCAATTTTTTGGCATTATTCCCGAGTTATTATATAGCAAATTTTCTTTTTCGAAAATTTTTTCCCAGTTTTAGTGAGTGTAGCTCAGCATCCGCTGGACCAATCAAAAAGTGCTTTATACATTTTTTGTTTCAGACTCCCGGGTTAACACTTTAAAATTATTCCCGAGCGATTTTCTCTGAGTTTTAAAAAATCCCAAAATTATTTTTAGTGTAGCTTAGCAACCGCTGTACCAATTAAAAAGTGCCTCATACATTTTTTGTTCAGAACTTTCTTCTGACTACTTTGGTGGTATTCTTGAACAATTATCGTAGGTTTGAAATACGGTCTTTTCAATAAAATTAAATAGTATTTTGTATTTGTTTGTATATTACAGTTCCACCAACAATTATATTACATCTATATTTTATTTATTCTAATTTTAGTAAAGTAATTTCATTCTAAATTCAAAATTGAACAAAAATTTTTTTTTGCTTTTTTTAAAAATATTTGAACATGTTAATAACAAATTTTTAGATTGTATCACGTTGCAATCACAAAAACTATTTTGAGTATTACAATATAAAGTTTTATTTATAGATAATTTATTTTTTTAAAATGTAATTTATATTTAGTTTGAAATTCTTCTTAAATTACTATTGAGATACATTATTTTGTTTAATTTTTTATTTTGTAACTCTTGGTCCTTGTAGAGTCAATAAATTTTGAGTCACAAATATTTGAAAATAAATTAGAAAAATAATTTGCTTAAAATATAATGAAAAAATAATTTTTTGTACTAGAAATACAATATATATTAGTAATTTCGTTATATGTAGATTATATATTGAGTTAATTGTATCCTTTCAATTATTTTTTGAATATTACTATTTATATTAATAAATATTTAAATTAGTATTTTCAGAAATGCCAAATGTTGTGTAATGTATAAGATTTGATCGTGCAATTTTAGTTTTTAACATATATTTGTAATCGTTATATAAGTAATTGTACCTTAAAACAATAATTCATGCATTTTTCGTTGATTTGCGATTTTTTGGAACAAAATGAATTATATATTGTATAAATTCATCCAATATATCTGATAAATATGAGTAATTAAAAGTAGGAAAATTAGAAAAATTCGATGTCGTTGCAATTGAAAGTGTTTTGTATGATGCATGTTTATGATTTCATTTATCAAACATACAATAATATTTCTTTTTAAATTAAATAATACAGTTATACTTTGTGAAGCTTCAATTCCTTTAAACAAACTATTTTCAATAAAAAAAATTGCTCAAGCCATCTTATCAGTCTTCAGGATGCAATAAACTTTTAAAAATTGCATTAAAATATTTAACATTTTTTAATAACGAGTGACATAACGGTCGTTAAATATTTTTTCCATATAATTATGTTTCAAGATTATTTATTTATTGATTAATAAACTTTTTTAAAATAATTATTCATTGCTCTAAATCTGAATTAGTAAAAATTTGAATTAGTGACTCACTTTTTCTTTTGAATTTGTAAAATGGAACTAATTTAAGAGCAAAAGTTGGATCAATAATTCAAATTTGTTAAAACTTTTACTTATTCAAATTTATATAGTGATTAATTTGTATTTAATTAATATGTTTGTTGTTCAATAGTATGTATGCAATTATTTTTCAATGTAAATTTATTGAATGAATAAATCTGTATTGAATAGTGAACTATTATCCAAATATTTTAAATAGATATGAAATAATTTCAATTTAACACAGTTGGATGTAAATAAATTTTCTTTGAGTAGAATATAGAAAGTCGAATATTTTAAGAATTGTGTAAAGGTTTTTGGTTTAGATACGTATATATGATATTGAGGTGAAGATATTGGTTCTTTATAGATAAATATGTCGTAAATTTTTTTCCTCAAGACTACAATATAGAACATCATTATCGATAGTTCAGTCTTTTTTCTTGATGTTTAGCATTTTTTTGAATTGAAATTTTATAATACAAAATATCGTATAAGCGAGACACGAACTGGTACAATATTGGTATTGTACATTGTGCCTATTATAAAGTAAACTAGATTTATTAAAATTGAGTGCCAGTAGATGGTATTACAATCAGCTGACAATTTGCAACCTTTTGTCATCAATTCATTTGTATATATATATATATGTAGAGGTAGAAATTGAAAATAATGTATAGCGTTATAAGTTACCGCGAACTTGACTTTTAAGTAACAGCTATGAATTAAATTTTTAATTTCAAAAATTGAGTTGATACTCTTAAATTAGTAAGCTGGACTCGTAACTGTTGAGACAGGTTTCGAAGATGGATGCTGGCCTTGTGCACAAGCTCCACTTCTAACTCCATTGAATTTCATCCAAGCATCATAGATATAAGCTGCAGTAGCGCAAAAACCGAAAAACTAAAAAAATTTGGAGAATTAAATGTTAGGTACTTTATAATAACTAATTCAAGAAAATATCTCAGATTTCGCACATAACAGACGTTTTAAATAATTTATATCTTACCGCTCCAGCTCCATAGCTTGGATCAATGCTAACATTAGTAGCAGCAACACAAGCGGCCGCAAAGTAAAAAATACTCAAAGCACCGCAAAAGTACATTTCCTGTAGACAAAAAAATAAATAAAATTTTTCTAAAAAAAAAAAACTATTCAATATTATGAAAAAATGCGAAAAAAATACTAACAATTTTAAGCCAGGGAATTATGTTGAATTTTTCAACCACGTGAAATAGATAAAGGGCCAATAATGTGACAGTAATCCAAAATCCAATCATTGCTACTGTATTAAAATAATTTCCACTACTACTGTAACTCCCGGCTGCCACCGAAATGCAAATGAATCCCAATAGGTTTAAAATCTGCGAAAATTAAATTTTTATTCTAGTAAAAGAAGATTTCATGAATTTATATACATATAAAAACATTTCAATTACCGCTTGTGCGGCTTTTAGCATTCCTGGCAATGTTCTTAAATATGATTTATCAAAGCGAATGCTTGTTGGAGATGAAGTTGTTGTTACTGTTGTCGATGTTGTATGCTGTCCTGGAAATTCTTGCTCCATTTTGTCTCAATATACTAAAAATTAAAAAATTTTAATAGTGGCATAAAAAATTTTCAAAATTAAAATTTTTTTTAAACATTTAATTGTTTTAAATTTTTATGATTGTAAAGAGTATGTATATATAAATGTTTTTCTTTAAAGAGTTGATAATTTCTCAGAAATTTGAAATATTAAACATAGTGTGTTCTTGATTCTTATTATGTCACTCAGATTTAGTAATCATAACGCACAAGAGATCCGTGGGACGACTCCCACTGCGTTCGATTTATCTGACTAGCCAGTAACTTTAGAAGCTGGATGTACCTATTTATATATAAACATTGTGCAAACTCAAAATACCGAAAATTCTGTAAATCGTAAAAGAAACAACTATGTCAAAAAAAAGTTAATGTATAAAGAATACTCAATTTTTAATATACTTTTATAATAAAACTTTTGTTTTCATTTTAAAATTGCATTATAAAAAAATTAAATTTTAGCTTAAACTGTATAATTAAACATTTTATCTTTAATTTTTTATATAAATACATTTAAAAAATTTATGATATGATAAAATAAAAATAAATATTCGATATAAAAAAATTAATTAAATTAAATGTTTATTTTTTATGGACAAATATTTTTAATTAAATGTTTTAAATGTACATTTTTATTCATTAAATTTTGTAGTCAAAAGTTATAGAGATTACAGAGAACTGATTAGATTTATAAAGGAGGCGTGTTGTAGGTTATACATAATTTTAATAATTAAATTTTTTTAATAAAAAACAGTTACCCTAATAGGCACTGCTTGAAAAATTGTTTTAATTACTAATTTCATTAAGACAATAATTTTAATAGCTTTTCTTGTTTCGTTTTATTAAAAACTTTCAGATTCCCGCCCTTTTTTCGATGTGAACGCGCATGCGCGATTATAAAATTTATTCTTTATTTTTTAAAATACATTTTTTCAAAATTCATTAAAAAAAATTTTAATATATTTTAATTGAAAATAAAAACATTTTCTTATTTCATTATAGTACTCAATTTATGTTTAACGTAAAATGCATTTGTGGCGTCTCTATGCTTATACATATATTATAATCTCAATACATACACGTGTAAATGTGAACTTGTGTGTGTATTAGGAAACCTCTTACAATGATTTTTCAGTCCAATAAGTATTTTATTTTATATGGAAATTGTTATTGAAATTAATTAATAAATCATATAGCTTACTGAATTTTTGCATTTTTTAAAAATAATTATAACAATTTTTGAAAACAAACAAAGTAATTAAAAACGATATATACTTTTATTACTTACTTATTTCCTGGTAGAAAAATATTTTGTAGATTTTTTTAATTTGTTGCACAGATGTTACAAAGAATATGTGTATGTATATATATATATATATATATATATATATCGAAAAATTTACACATATATGTGAAATAATTTCAATTATTTTGAAATTTTAAACATATAAAATTTTTTATCACATATGAAGACAAAAATTTAATTTCACAGAGCCCAATATACGTTGTTGGGTGTGTTTTATTGAATTTACTTTTAAATGCTTGAAAAGTGCATTGAGAGCAGTGGCAATTGTATGCCATACATTGAAAATGAGTAACGGTACTGAAAATGAAAACCACTGAAAAGTTTGCAAGTCCTCGCCAGACAAACAATAGTGAGAGATTTGAGAATTATTATGCCGCTTGGGTTTGAAAAAGGGTCGGCTAGTATGAATTCTGTGTTTTGAAACTGCGCGCTAGAAATAAAATATTGATTACAAACTTATCCCAAATGAAACTAGAAGGCAGCACATTTAAGAATGTGGAGAACTTTTTGAATTATTCCTCTCCTTGTCCTTTTTTTTATTCGATCCTTTCTTAAAAAAGACAGTGCATGCTGCATGCAAAGCACATGAAAATGTATCGAAATATCTCGATACATGTATTTAAACTTGTTAAACGTTATAATTAATCTATTAAATAGATTTCCTTATTCTATAAATATTGTACTTTTGTTATGTCACTGATGTTCATAAATTTTTTAGCGTGCAAGACAAAATAACGCGCGCTTTATTAAAATAATGAAATTTATTAAATTATAATAAAATAATTATAATAAATTAAATTTTGAAATATTTAATAAAATAATTGTAATAAATTATGAAACATAAATTGAATGGACAAAGAATAGATAGTAAATAATAAAATTACGAGCGAGACCTCAAAATATTAAAGTATGAAAAAATTGTATTGAGAATCTGAAATAAAAAAAAGAAGTTATGTAATTGTCTCAGTCAAAAATAATATGTATATATATATATATATATATATAAAAGTACTTAAATTATATTATAATTTTTTACGTACAGTACACAAAATATCGAATGATAAAACAGAAGTTTTGCCAATTTTTATATTACATTGTTTCATACTTCGACACATCATTAAAAATATTGGTAATTTTATATTTTTTGAAAATTTATACCATGGAAATGCTTCATAACTAAAAAATACAAAAAATTTACTATACCTGTATAAAATAATAGAGGAAAGAAAACCTAATCGTAATATATTACACACATATAATTAACCAAATTAGAAGATTGTGTTTGTACTAATTGTCCGCTCATACAATTGAAAAATAGATGTATAATTTGAGCAATGAAAGCAAATCCACCTCGAACAAGAAAGTTTATATCATCCAAATGGTAAGCAATCTATAAATTTTTGTGAATTAAAAAATTCTGAAATATTTAACTTGCAGTTAACAATATGTGATTGTTAGAAAAAGTTTAACTTTACTCTTAAAATATTGAATTTAATGTGAAATTTTGTGAAAAAGTCTAAAATATGAGGAACGTTTGTTATGTGCTAAACTTGAGATATTTATTATATTATTTATAATAATTAATTAAACAAAATATCTATGTATATCTTAGTTTTCGCACATAACAGACATTTCTCATCATATTTTTGACTTTTCCTCAAAATCTCAGATCTATATACATTCAATATTTTAAGAGTAAGTTTCCCAACAAAATTAACTTAGCAATCACTTACTGTTAAGATATATATTATTTTTATATAATGCTTACCAATGCACAGTAACAGCTTATTATACTAACTGTTATAAGAACCATCATAAATAAATAAAAAGAGAAACATGAATTAATTTTGTCGATAAACCTTAAAGGAAAAAAACAACATTTCATTATTAAAATACATTTTTAACGTTCATTATTTATATAATTTTTTCAGACAAACTTTAATAATCTGTAGTGCAGTTTTATGCAAGAAATAATCGCTTCATATTCGTTTGATTCATCAACTGTATTTGTATGTGTCTCTTCATTGATATTAATTTGCTGTAATTTGTATCTGCAAATGTTTAGGGCGGTTTCATCTCAAAAGATAAAGTAAGTAAGCACACAGTAAGCTTACAAAGTAAAGCTAAGGTAAACTTACACAGTCAGCTTCCTATAAGGTTACTGTAAACATAGAATGTTATTAATAAATCAATTGTATTAATATTTATGTGCAGTATCAGTAACTCTATGTTTACAGTAACATTACAGCAACCTCACCATGTAAATTTACCATGACCTTACTGTGAGGCGGAACATTTAAGATGATCTCATGTTTACTGCAGACTTATATGGTAATATTACAAGTCCTACAAATATCCTTACAGTAACGTAACAGCAGTAATAATGTATAGGTATTACTAATTTAAATTTACCGTAAAATTTGAATTAATGCGTTAGCGTGTTGACAGAAGTAAAAAATCAATACATCTGAGCATAAAACCATCAAAACAATGATAAAACCAAAAACACCTATATGGATACTAGCAAATAAATTATAATCAGCTCTATTAAAAAAATAATAGTCCGCTTCTACTGGATTACTTATTTTACGTGATTCATTTAATGGCTTAATTATATCTAAAATTGGTCCTAAAGATCCTGATGCAAAAAATCCCATTGATGAAAAGGATGCATAACCTAAGAAATTTTATTTATGATGGCAGGGAGTCAATTGAACGTTCTACCCTTCAATGACTGACCCTACAAAAAACGGATTGTTAAAGTAATAAAGATTTATTACTTTAACAATCCGTTTTTTTGTACAGTTGGTTGTGTAGAATCGGGTAATTGTAGGTCATCTTAAAAATTCAGTCTCACAGTAAGCTTACTCAGTAAAGTCATTGTAACTTTACCTAGTAAGGTTGTGATTATCTTACACGGTAAGGTTGCTGTAAAGTTACTGTAAACACAGAATGTTATTAATATTTATGAGCTGTAGTTTTCTATGGCACATACGGCTGCGCAGTGCAGAATTTCATTTAACAAACCCTATTGGAGTGCATGTAGTACTTTACCAAATATACAATTTTCTATAAAAAAATTTATAAATATTTTCATATTACTTTATGCTTACAGTAATTTTAAAGTAACCATCCTACAACATTACCATGTAAGCCTACTGTGAGGTGGAACTTTTAAGATGACCTCAAGTTTACTGTAGGCTTACACGGTAACTTCACAAGTCCTACAGATATCCTCTCTCTAAATCTGAATAAGTGAAATTTCACTTAATATGTGTCAAAAGTCTTCCACGTAGAAAAATAAGTGTATATGCACTTTTAAATAAGTGGTTTTCACTCAAAAATAAGTGAAGTTTCACTTATTTTTAAGTGCATACACACTTATTTTTCTACGTGGAAGACTTTTGACACATTTTAAGTGAAATTTCACTTATTCAGATTTAGAGAGCTCACAGCAAGAAGCCGTGCTATGTAACAAAAATATAATCATTATAACAATATTTTTTGTTTACCTAAATAAAACTGACAAATTAGTTGTGAAACTTTTGTACAATCCTTTAATATTTTGTATTCTTCACTATTATTATAGAAATTGTCAAAATCTTGTGACATATTATTAAATATATCTTGTACCTATAAAGATTTAAAAAAAATTGTACATAAATATAATAGAAACATTTGAAACTTTATGCTGAAATTTTGTCGCGATTAAAATTCACCTTCTCTTTAGTAACAATCATGTTATAAAATGCAAACCATGACATTACAATAAATCCTGGATAGGCACCAAACTCACATAAAGCATCAATATCCTTTAATGTGTAGGCTAGAAAATACGTCTTTACAAAAAAGTAATAATTAAATGTCATGAAAAATATATTTCTCGTTCCTCAAAGATTTTCGTATCTATAGGTACTTTATTTACATTTTTAAATGTAAAGAATTTAATAATTTTTGTATGTATATATATTTACCACGGGTACAGTCCAAGAGAAATAACCAATACCAAAAAAAATGCGTTGAAGTAATAAAATTCTAGAATTAATAAAGGGCCAATATCCACATAAGATTAGGAAGAATTTTAAAATTTTCGTATGTGCAATTAATAATGGAGAAAGCATAATTTCAAGTCAAATGATAAATTTATTTGGAAAAAAATGTATACTCTGTACTATGTTAGAACTCATATAAAAATTTGTAACCTTATCCAAACACAGTACTAAAAAAAATATATTATATAATTTTTTAAAATCGTCAATATCCATTTCATCATTCACATAAATTATTCTTATATTATAATTGCATGTCGAATAGAGTTTCACACACCTATTTCTAACAAGTTTTTTTATAATCAAATTGCTGTATTAATATTAAAAGGATGAACGTTATCGCCAGCTGTTAGATATACATTTTTTATGTATGATATCGCGTGTTAAATTGACAATTTTTCTATCCACGAAGTAATTTTCTATAATTATAATTATGCTCGATGAGAATTTCACACCTGCTGTAATAATAAATTTTAACACTAGAATTACATTAAATTTCTCTATATATTGATGTCATATATTCAGATGATAAACGAAAATTGTTTTATAAGTATACATTTTTTACATATCAAATTTTTTGTAGGAAATAGTCTACAACAGCATGCGATTGTTTTGTAAGTATCTGCAAATATTTTCAAGAATTTTTTTTTTAAATAAAATTTATTAAAGTCTCTTCAAAACATTTACATATTATCTCACATATATTGAAGGAAATAAACTTTTTTTAAATATACGGCAACAAAATGACGGTCGAAAGGGAAACTGAATAACGCTGAAGAAATATTCACAATTTGCATATTGCAGACACAAACAGTAGGGTTTACACACTGAAAAAAAAATTTATTTGATTCAAATACCGGTGTATTTGGTTATTATCAAATACACAGGTATTTGAATCAAATAAATTTTTTTTCAGTGCAGCGATTGAACATTTTCGTGCGCGCGCGTTCCAATCAGCCAATAAGAGTATACTTTGAAAATCGCGCATATTTTGAAAAGTCAGTATGGATCAATTATTTTTATGATATTGAAATTATTAAATTAAAAATACCTTCAATGCATCTCTGAATGAAATTAAATTGCATTGAATGAAAATTTATTGACATAAATTGACTTAAAAATGCATAGATTTTCAGGCACTTTTTAACAATGATGTACTAATGTTCTTATTCTTGAGGTGGGACTTTCATTTTTTTCCTCAGGTGTACCAATACAATGTCGTAGATAAAAAGTATTGTTGTCCCGTACGAAAAGAGCTGAAAAATAATAATTAAGTCTAAAAAATTACACTTGGTTAAATATTACTTGTATAAATGTAAATTACACTTACCGCCGCTACAATAAACTTAACGTCCCAATGATAGTTAAATTTGTTTAATTCTATACAGACAAGAGTTGCCAAAGAAGCGCAAGCAAAACTCAAGAGAGCACAAGTTATAGACACAATATATTCCTGTATATTATTAATTAAATAATTAAAATTATTGAATAATAAATTAATTAAATATACTTACAATCGTGTACCATGGTATTGTATTATATCTCTCAACAATATGAAACAAATATGACCACATCAAAATATTCACACTACAACCTAATGCATAAGGTGCCATTCTGTAAAAAACATACCCAATGGTCATAACTAATTGTATTTCCTTATTAAAATATATTTCATGAGAATATGAATGGCCATAGTTATAATAAACTGTAGAAGAGAAGAAAAATGAGCCCGCAGCAATTGCAGTGAATATCTAAAAAAAAATAAAAATGCTTAACGAAAAATAATAATAAAATAGAGAGTGTTTTATAATTAACACTCATTTCTTTTAGAGAAAATTTTTAAATTTAATTATTTAATCATTTACCAATTCGAACAGTTTTAATAATCCACGTGTTGTAGCAAGGTAAGAACAGTCAAGTCGAATTATTGGACGACTGACAATTGTATCCTCGGGAGTATAAATTGGTGGTGGCAAATAACTCGTCATATTAGTTCTGAGAAATAATTTTTTTTTCTTAATTTTAATTTACAAAAATTACGACTAAATTTTAAAATTTTAACTTTATAAGTTTTATTATTAAATTGTGAAAATGGTATTTTTATCTTATTTTTATCATCGATAATTTAGATAAACCAAAAATTATATAGTCCATATCTATTTATATAATGTACTCTTTATTCTTTCTCGAATATATAAAAGTATATATGTGCGCATTGTATTCTCTCAGATAAGCGTAAAAATAACGTACAAATACATACATTTTTGATTCACATCAGGAAAGTAATGGAATTTTCTTGACGATATTAATATCATTGATGTTAAATTGAAAAACGATTAATATTTAAATAGTACATTTTTTCTTCCATGTATATAATTTTTTTACTTTTTATTAAAAATAAAAAATTTTAATACAATATAATTGTCACCGATTTTGAGAGGTATATAACGTGTATGTTATAAAGGAAACTTCACAATGTACTGTTTAAGTTGTTTTAAGACAAAAGCTCCAAGACAAGTAATGCAAATAGCATTGGTGATATGAATGTCCAAACGACACTCATAGATTTCTATTTAACAGTTTTCAAAATCATATCAAAATTTAGTAGACAAAAATTACAAATAATTTAAATATCAATTTTATTTTTAATAAACAAAAAATATTAAAAAAGTTCAATTTTTGTTGAAGTAACATAAATTTTTTTTAAAGAATAATTTAATATTATTAACTACTAGAATATATAGAGATATTAGAATTATTTTGAAAATATTTATCTAAAACCTAAAGTTGTTTTTCATTATTCTTATAAATTAATATATCATTAGAAATTATGTAAAAAAATTAGTTTTAAAATATGCAGAAACATGTTTTTTTCAATTTAATCCTCATGTGACGATTTTTGATTGATAAACAAATTTGAATAAGAAACTTCACATCCTGGATTTAAAATATGAGCTGCTTCTTTGTCCAAATCATTTAAGGCTGAGTCTATTTTTAATAAAGATTCCACTAAATCATTCATTTCTAAAACAATGTCATTTTTAATCTGCAAAAATTGATCAGTTGTCTCTTTTTTTCTTTCCGTTTCATTCACTAAATTTACATTTCGCATTTCCGATTCAAAATTATTTCTTATTGAAAAAGTACTTGTTGTCGAATTATTTAATATTTCATCCAGATTTGAATAAATGTCACCATTATCATTATCATTAGAGCAAGAAGATTCATCAAAATTATTAACAGAAAACATTGTTTTAATTTGACACTTTTGAGATGTTGAAGGAACAATTGTCTCATCAGTTGATGAATAAAATGAAAATGTCAAATCAGGAGGGACTGATAGATTTTTTTTTATCACTTCTGTTGATGTGTGTGATAGATGAGAAATATCATTAGTTTGCTTTGAGGGCAAAACTTTTGATGCTTTATATAAAAATTGCAATTGCTTTTTATTAAACGTTGATGATGTTTTAATTGAATTATTTTCGTTTTTCAGAGAAAACGAATTTTTCAAATCACCACTATTGAAATAGTGAGCTGCTTCAATATCGAGATTCGTAAGTCCTGATTCAAGTATCCTTAATGAATTTGATAATTCTTTTTCAATTTGTGAAATGTCTATTGGAATTTTTCTTGATTCTGTAAATTTGTTTGTTTCATCCATACTTGGTGATTTATTTTTTTGTTTTTAAGATAATTTTCTGAAAATATATAGATAAATGAAACGATGAACATTAAAACTAAAGTATAGAAAAAATAATAAATAGTATATTGTATGATGAAAGATAATATAAAAGTTGAGTCCAATCTTTTCGGGTTAAAAACTAGAAGAAGTTTAAAAAATATTATTATGACTGTATAAAATAATTGAATTATCAATAGTTCATAACACAAACAAATTTTAAATTTTAACCAAATTTTAAAAATTCCACTCGTATACAAAGAAATATACTTTTGTCTATTCTTCTGACTCTAATGAGTCATATATTAGTATATTAAAACAAATAAAAAGAACTTTTTGATTCTAAAATTAAAAAGAAGACAAAAATGTTAAATAACAAATGAAGATATATAATAAAATCAATTATTTACAGATTTTTAGTCACATATTTGTAATTTAAATATAATTTACATACCACAAAAGACAAAACATACAATTTTTTCTGTTGAAACACAATGTTCTACTTGGGTATTATCTTCTCTGTTTTATGACTAAATGACGAATACAGTAAATTTTATCATTCAGGGGAATTCTTCAACTGGTTGAATAAAACCGTGTCAAGTAACTTAAGATCCCCGAACAAATTTTTTCTTTTTATTCTCATATTTTTTCTATATTTAAAAAGTAATTCTTTTTTTTACTTATAACATAAATATGATAAGTTCTTTTTGATTTATGAAAATATTATTATAACAATTTAATGAATTATTTAATATTGTTTTTAAAGCAAAAGTTAAGAAGAACAATGATTGCAAATCTAAACGGGAACAATTCTGATATGATAGGCAGTATCTTTTATATTCATATGCATATGCAAATGCATATATTTAATACATTGATAAATATTTTAATAGTAAACATTATAAATAAATAATAAATTACTAATTGATAAAAAAAAATTTTATTTAAAATAAAATTTTTGTCAACTGTGAAAATATTTCATTTCATACAGAATTACTTTTCTTTTAAAAATATATATACTATACAAACTTTGCACTTATATACTTATACATAAACATATATATCACAGTTTCATATTGTGTGCAATAAGAAATAGAAGCATTGATTTAAATAAAAAATGAGACATAATAATTTGTACGTTACATTTAGAAAAATATTTTAAGTACTTAACATCACTTTGAATGTCTTTTGAGTTGCATAGATTTTTGTTTGTCACTGCAATCCTCAAAAAAAACTATTTTTTTTTATTATTTACGTTAGATTTGCACTGAACATTGCAAATTCTGAGCCTTGTAGTGGTAGTTTCATATTTTTTCTCTGATTCACCAAATAGAAATTATAAATAAAAAGGGCAGCAGTAATTAGTGTAAAAATCTGAAATTATTACAAAATTTTCAATATTAAAAATAAAATTAAAATTAAATATAAAAATTTAAATAAAATCTTACCAGTGCAAAACACAATAAAGCAGACAGTGAGCCTAAGAAAGTATAAAGAGGAGCGAAAGCACATAAACAGCAAAGTGCAGCTCCTACCCCACAAACTGTCAATTCCTGTAATTTGTAATAAGTATTTGTATTACTTTTATTGAAAATATTTAATAATAACATAATTCAAAAATAAATAGCATCGAAATTTTGTAAAAGAGGTGTTAACTGAGTTCATTAATAAGACTGAATCTTTGCATTTGTATTAATAATAACAATAATAAATTCTTATTAAATATTGTAATAATAATCATCATGGTACATATGTAAATAAACTAATTGCTATGTTTATGATTTAAAATAAAACAATTCAAATGTTGAAAAGAAACAATTGTTTATAAAATAATAATGCTATTCAGTGTTAATTGAATAATTAATATTTTATTAATTTGTAATTATAATTTTACTCACAATTGAATACCATGGATATTTGTGGAAATGTTCGACTTTATGAAGTATATATAACCACATTAAGACATGAACAGCAGGCAGCAATGTAGATATTAAAATTATATAAAGAAAGAAACCAATTAACATTGGCAGTGAGATTAAATGAGGTACTCCTGAAATGCCCCAAATAAAAGTAATTGCTCCAAAGCTGATGAATAACTAAAAAAAAATTAAATTAACATAATATATTTTTTTTTAAATTTTAATTAAAATCAAATATTGAATTTTTTCAGTATTAAATATTTTTAGACTTGATAATTTATAAAATAGATTAATAAATTAGGTTTATTTAAAAAAAAATTACCTGTTGTAATATTTTTAATAAACCAAATTTTGTCCTTATAAATGAAAAATCAACTATTGGTCCAGAATTATATGTTGTAGTTGGAACATAAACTGTATTTGGTGGAATATATTCATCAGAATTTGGTACTGCTGAATGAGAATTCATCTTTTAATTTATACTGCAAAAAAGATTATTTGTTAGCAGATATTGAATAAATTATAACTACTATAGTAAAATTTTTAATAATTAATTAATCTATAAAATTAATGTTGAAAAAACAATTATTTTACATGTGCGCAATTCTATACCACGTGGAACAAAATATTTCGCAAAAAAGAAAAAAACGTAACATTATAAATTATTTATACGCACAGGTATAATTAAAAATTTCCACTTACCGTCAATGAATAATGAAAAATACTTGAAAATTTGTATTAACGTGTTTTTTTTTGTAAAAATTTCAGTGTGTATTTTTTATGTATAATTTTTAATTAATTAACAATAATTTTTTATGTGATTATTGCAATTTAATTTAAAAATGCAGGAGATACAATATAAAATAATAATTTTATAAATACGTTATATACAACTAGAACGTATCACTGTAGAAGACTCACTGAATGTTTTAACTATAGCACGCAGTGGAGTTTCTTTTCTCTCATGTATGAGTAATAAAGTACATTTATATATATACGTATAGTTGTTGAATCATCTAAAACATTTTCCGAAAATGACGTACTCATTTTCATTTATTTCCTGCTTACGTTTTACTATACAACAATCGTTCATTCTTTCTTCAACCTTATAGTAAAATGTTACACTCTATAATTACCTTTCATTCTATTGTAATATTATCAATTAAAAAGTACTTTATAATTTTTGAAAATACATTTCACTCATTGTCCGTTATCTTAGTCTGTCATTAACAAATAATTTCTCTTCACATTCATTCTTGTCTCATTATAGTTAAGAAAATATCTAAGACGTTCCGTTATTGGTCGAACTCTAAGACATCATAAAATGTCTTAAAAATAAGACATTCGTTTTTGCACTAGAATACAAAAATTATAGTAGATTATTTTAAATATATTATTAATTAAAAACTATTTATAAAATGAATGGGACAATGAAATGAAAAAACAATAAATTTGCGGAAGCTCATATAATTTATTAGTATCCTTCGTTACGGAAAACATGATTTTTCACATGCACAGTTGATTTAAAAATTAGTTACTTTTTAATAGATCAAATATTGTAAATTTTTTAATTGTAGATTATAGTAAAATTTTGTAACAAGAAATTCATAATAAAAAAAATATTGTTACATATATACTCGCTCTCCACATATTTTAAAACGCTTTAACGGCGACAATTTTTTTTCTTTTAACTATTGCACTATCTGCGATTTTGCATTGCGGTGCATTAACAAATTTTACTTTAATCGTTTATATTTTCTTTTTTTTGACTTCAATAAAACATTTTACCACAATATCCATATATATAGTTAAAAAATTTAATCTGATTTTAAATCAGTAGAATTATAAAGAATTATATAATTTTTAAGTAAAATTTTGTTGTCATTATTTAAAATGTTTATCAAAAAGAAATTCTAATTTACACATAAATATAAACATAACTTTTACATATAAAAATGTACAATTAGATAGTAATAATGATAATAATAATAAAATTAATAATTTTTAAATTCTTCAAATATTAAATAAGATTTGAAACAAATTTTAGATCCGTGGATCTATCATCGGCATCGGGAATAAAGTGCGGATAATACAGCTGGACTGAATGTCTATATTCTCAATGATAAAGAACAGACACAATCCACTTTTTTTGTCAATCTACGTTTACAAATTTCTATCGTTATCTCATTTCTCTAAAAAATTTACATCACGTGTCAATTTTTCAATCGTGGCCGATATTATAGTAAAAGTTTTGAAGCATTTTTTGTTGACTGCTCTTGTTAGATGGTCCATTTTTGTCTCAAAGATGAGACGAAACAAAGCATTTTTGTTTTCTTTTTTTACTATCGACGATCTACTTTTCCAAACTCTTTGTCTAACTCTCTTTTGTCGCACAATAACACGGATCTTTATTTAATCTAAAATAACTAGATGTTTTTTTTGTCGAATAGGTTTAATAAATATGGACGGATTTCACGAAGTCAGTTTTTTTCCATTAAAATCGAGTCTTATATCATAATCACAAGAATACAGAAAAATGGAAAATATTTAAAAACACAATAAATTTCTTCGAAATATATTAAGTTGGAAGCATCAATGTATAACGTTGATTACTCACACAGAAATATTTTTTGTCAAATCTATCTGATAAAATGATCTTAAAAAAGTACGAATATAAAGTATAAAAATTCATGGTAATTATCAAAAAATTATTGAAACCCTTGCGAAACATAATAATTTTCTGAAAAAAATTTATTATTTCGTTTAAATAAATTATGTTTTTGGTATGTAAATAAGCTTTTTTTGTAATATCAGTATGTGAAAAACAAATTCTCTCGTATCTTAACAAATATCACGTTAGTTTTATTTTTTCGTAAGGGAATCAACTTTTAAAATATCTACATATTGTATCGTGTTAAAATTAAATACTAAATACAAGTCTGTAAAGAGGTATATTTTATGAGATCAACGGGTAGAAAAGTATAAAAAAATGAGATCAATTATTCATACTAACTGTAACTTATCTATTTTCTTTTAAGAAAACAATCACGTTTGGATTATTCAAAATCACAAACGAAAATTAAAATAAAAAGAAATTCTTTATTATTCGAACGTTAATCTTGAAATGTTTTTGTTAAATTCCTTCATTATTTAAAATGAGATGGAGATGAAGATTTTAAATCATATGAAGGTGGAGGAGGAAGGGCTAATGATGGAGGTAAACTGGCAGTGCTAGTTAAGGTTGAATCCAATTTTCGAGCTTCATGTTCCAATAAAACAGCATCTAAAGATGGATCTTGAGATACTGTTCTTAAGGAGTCGCCCAATGCTTGTCGCAATTGTTGCATTTCTCGACCAGCTTGAGTACTACGATAAACGTATAATTGACGACGTTTAATTTCCTGATTTAGTTGATCTCGTAACAATTGAATCTGTAAAGAAAAAAATATTCGCTAAATAGGTTTCCGTGAAGTCTTCGAAAATTTTAACAGGGACGATAATTTTACCTGATTTTCCAGCCTGAGAACTTGTTGGCGATGACTCTGTTCTCTGGCTTCAAGCAATTTTTCTGCTTGTAACTGAGCAGCTCTAAGTCTTTCTAATTCGCTACTTCGACTTCGGGACAAATCCAAAGACGAATGTGAATGAATATTTAATGACTTCACTCGCAAGAGTTCCGCTTCCTTTTCAGCTAATTGCGTTTCTAATCTTCGAATTCTCAGTCGAAGATCACGATTTTCTTGTTCTAAACTTTCAATTGTTGCACACGAACCCAATAATTCAACATGTGCTTTCTCAGGCCGTTCATAACTCTTACTTCGAACACTTCCAGGTCTTATGGATGCCAACTGACGTTCCAAATTACGTTTATCGGACTCCAAATGTTTTACCTGAATTCAAAAGATTTATTATCGAATGGATAATGAATTTTACGACTTTTTTTCTAGAAAAAAAAAAAATAATAACTATGTTTTCAATTTAAATACCTTATCGTGTAAAGCATCAACTTTTCCTTTTAACTCACTACGATCTCTTTGTGCAGATTGAACCTGTCGCACTAATTCTTCCTCTTTATTTGTTCGTTCTTCATGAGGCCAATTTGATAATCGCAATTGTGCCTCAAGTCCTGATCGAACAACTTCATTATTCGATATTTCGTTCTGTAACCTTACATTTTGATCTCCAAGAGTTTGATTATTGCGTCTTAATTCACCGACAGACTGTTGTGCAGATTCTAATCTTTCAGTTAAAATTCGACGTTCATTTTCTAAATTAGATACCTGTTTTTGCAGCTACAATTTATAATAAATTATTTTTATATCAATATAACATTATATAACATTATAACTTTATAACAATTATATAATAATTACTTCACTCGTACATCACTCGCACTTCACTCATACTTCACTCGTACTTCACTTGTACTTCACTTGTACATCATCGTACTTCATTCGTACTTCACTCGTACTTCACTCGTACTTCATTCGTACTTCACTTGTACTTCACTTGTACTTCATTCGTACTTCATCGTACTTCACTCGTACTTCACTTGTACTTCATCGTACTTCATCGTACTTCATTCGTACTTCATCGTACTTCACTCGTACTTCATCGTACTTCATCGTACTTCACTTGTACTTCACTCGTACTTCATTCGTACTTCATTCGTACTTCACTCGTACTTCACTCGTACTTCACTCGTACTTCACTCGTACTTCACTCGTACTTCACTCGTACTTCACTCGTACTTCACTCGTACTTCACTCGTACTTCACTCGTACTTCACTCGTACTTCACTCGTACTTCATTCGTACTTCACTCGTACTTCACTCGTACTTCACTTGTACTTCATTCGTACTTCATCGTACTTCACTCGTACTTCACTTGTACTTCATCGTACTTCATTCGTACTTCATTCGTACTTCATCGTACTTCACTCGTACTTCATCGTACTTCACTTGTACTTCACTCGTACTTCATTCGTACTTCACTTCTACTTCACTCGTACTTCACTCGTACTTCACTCGTACTTCACTCGTACTTCATCGCACTTTATTCGTACTTCACTTGTACATCATCCTACTTCACTCGTACTTCATTCGTACTTCATTCGTACTTCACTTGCACTTCATTCGTACTTCACTCGTACTTCACTCGTACTTCACTCGTACTTCATTCGTACTTCACTCGTACTTCATTCGTACTTCACTCGTACTTCAATCGTACTTCACTCGTACTTCATCGTACTTCACCCGTACTTCACTTGTACTTCATCGTACTTCATTCGTACTTCACTCGTACTTCACTCGTACTTCATTCGTACTTCATCGTACTTCATCGTACTTCACTCGTACTTCATTCGTACTTCACTCGTACTTCACTCGTACTTCATCGTACTTCATTCGTACTTCATCGTACTTCATTCGTACTTCATCGTACTTCACTTGTACTTCACTCGTACTTCATTCGTACTTCACTCGTACGTCACTCGTACTTCATCGTACTTCATTCGTACTTCATCGTACTTCATTCGTACTTCATCGTACTTTATTCGTACTTCACACGTACTTCACTCGTACTTCATTCGTACTTCATCGTACTTCATCGTACTTCATCGTACTTCATCGTACTTCATCGTACTTCACTCGTACTTCACTCGTACTTCACTCGTACTTCATCGTACTTCATTCGTACTTCATCGTACTTCATTCGTACTTCACTAGTACTTCACTCGTACTTCATTCGTACTTCACTCGTACTTCACTCGCACTTCATCGTACTTCATCGTACTTCATTCGTACTTCACTAGTACTTCACTCGTACTTCATTCGTACTTCACTCGTACATCACTTGTACTTCACCCGTACTTCATCGTACTTCACTTGTACATCACTCGTACTTCATTCGTACTTCACTCGTACTTCATTCGTACTTCACTCGTACTTCATCGTACTTCACTTGTACTTCATCGTACTTCATTCGTACTTCATCGTACTTCACTCGTACTTCATCGTACTTCACTCGTACTTCATTCGCACTTCACTTCTACTTCACTCGTACTTCACTCGTACTTCACTCGTACTTCACTCGTACTTCACTCGTACTTCACTCGTACTTCACTAGTACTTCACTCGTACTTCATCGCACTTTATTCGTACTTCACTTGTACATCATCCTACTTCACTCGTACTTCATTCGTACTTCATTCGTACTTCCCTCGTACTTCACTCGTACTTCATTCGTACTTCACTTGCACTTCATTCGTACTTCACTCGTACTTCACTCGTACTTCACTCGTACTTCACTTCTACTTCACTCGTACTTCACTCGTACTTCACTCGTACTTCACTCGTACTTCATCGCACTTTATTCGTACTTCACTTGTACATCATCCTACTTCACTCGTACTTCATTCGTACTTCATTCGTACTTCACTTGCACTTCATTCGTACTTCACTCGTACTTCACTCGTACTTCATTCGTACTTCACTCGTACTTCAATCGTACTTCACTCGTACGTCACTCGTACTTCATCGTACTTCACTCGTACTTCACTCGTACTTCACTCGTACTTCACTCGTACTTCACTCGTACTTCACTCGTACTTCACTCGTACTTCACTCGTACTTCACTCGTACTTCACTCGTACTTCACTCGTACTTCACTCGTACTTCACTCGTACTTCACTCGTACTTCATTCGTACTTCACTCGTACTTCACTCGTACTTCACTCGTACTTCACTCGTACTTCATTCGTACTTCATCGTACTTCATCGTACTTCACTCGTACTTCATTCGTACTTCACTCGTACTTCACTCGTACTTCATCGTACTTCATTCGTACTTCATCGTACTTCATTCGTACTTCACTAGTACTTCACTCGTACTTCATTCGTACTTCACTCGTACTTCATTCGTACTTCACTAGTACTTCACTCGTACTTCATTCGTACTTCACTCGTACATCACTTGTACTTCACTTGTACTTCATCGTACTTCATTCGTACTTCATCGTACTTCACTCGTACTTCATCGTACTTCATTCGTACTTCATCGTACTTCACTCGTACTTCACTCGTACTTCACTCGTACTTCATCGTACTTCACTCGTACTTCATTCGTACTTCATTCGTACTTCACTTCTACTTCACTCGTACTTCACTCGTACTTCACTCGTACTTCACTCGTACTTCACTCGTACTTCACTCGTACTTCATTCGTACTTCATCGTACTTCATCGTACTTCATCGTACTTCATCGTACTTCATCGTACTTCACTCGTACTTCACTCGTACTTCATCGTACTTCACTCGTACTTCACTTGTTCTTCACTCGTACTTCATTCGTACTTCATTCGTACTTCATCGTACTTCATCGTACTTCATCGTACTTCATCGTACTTCACTCGTACTTCATCGTACTTCACTCGTACTTCACTTGTACTTCATCGTACTTCATTCGTACTTCATCGTACTTCATTCGTACTTCATCGTACTTCACTCGTACTTCACTCGTACTTCATTCGTACTTCATTCGTACTTCACTCGTACTTCATCGTACTTCATCGTACTTCATCGTACTTCATCGTACTTCATTCGTACTTCATCGTACTTCATTCGTACTTCACTAGTACTTCACTCGTACTTCATTCGTACTTCACTCGTACTTCATCGTACTTCATCGTACTTCATCGTACTTCATCGTACTTCATTCGTACTTCATCGTACTTCATTCGTACTTCATCGTACTTCACTCGTACTTCATTCGTACTTCATTCGTACTTCACTTCTACTTCACTCGTACTTCACTCGTACTTCACTCGTACTTCACTCGTACTTCACTCGTACTTCACTCGTACTTCATTCGTACTTCATCGTACTTCATCGTACTTCATCGTACTTCATCGTACTTCACTCGTACTTCACTCGTACTTCATCGTACTTCACTCGTACTTCACTTGTTCTTCACTCGTACTTCATTCGTACTTCATTCGTACTTCATCGTACTTCATCGTACTTCATCGTACTTCATCGTACTTCACTCGTACTTCATCGTACTTCACTCGTACTTCACTTGTACTTCATCGTACTTCATTCGTACTTCATCGTACTTCATTCGTACTTCATCGTACTTCACTCGTACTTCACTCGTACTTCACTCGTACTTCATTCGTACTTCACTCGTACTTCATCGTACTTCATCGTACTTCATCGTACTTCATCGTACTTCATTCGTACTTCATCGTACTTCATTCGTACTTCACTAGTACTTCACTCGTACTTCATTCGTACTTCACTCGTACTTCACTCGCACTTCATCGTACTTCATTCGTACTTCATCGTACTTCATTCGTACTTCACTAGTACTTCACTCGTACTTCATTCGTACTTCACTCGTACATCACTTGTACTTCACTTGTACTTCATCGTACTTCATTCGTACTTCATCGTACTTCACTCGTACTTCACTCGTACTTCACTCGTACTTCATCGTACTTCACTCGTACTTCATTCGTACTTCATTCGTACTTCACTTCTACTTCACTCGTACTTCACTCGTACTTCACTCGTACTTCACTCGTACTTCACTCGTACTTCACTCGTACTTCATTCGTACTTCATCGTACTTCATCGTACTTCATCGTACTTCATCGTACTTCATCGTACTTCACTCGTACTTCACTCGTACTTCATCGTACTTCACTCGTACTTCACTTGTTCTTCACTCGTACTTCATTCGTACTTCATCGTACTTCATCGTACTTCATCGTACTTCATCGTACTTCATCGTACTTCACTCGTACTTCACTCGTACTTCACTTGTTCTTCACTCGTACTTCATTCGTACTTCATTCGTACTTCATCGTACTTCATCGTACTTCACTCGTACTTCACTTGTACTTCATCGTACTTCATCGTACTTCATCGTACTTCATCGTACTTCATCGTACTTCATCGTACTTCATCGTACTTCATCGTACTTCACTCGTACTTCACTCGTACTTCACTTGTACTTCATCGTACTTCACTCGTACTTCACTCGTACTTCATTCGTACTTCATTCGTACTTCACTCGTACTTCACTTGTACTTCATCGTACTTCACTTGTACTTCATCGTACTTCACTCGTACTTCACTCGTACTTCATCGTACTTCATTCGTACTTCACTCGTACTTCACTCGTACTTCATTCGTACTTCACTCGTACTTCACTCGTACTTCACTTGTACTTCATCGTACTTCACTCGTACTTCATCGTACTTCATCGTACTTCATCGTACTTCATCGTA